CACTACTGCCGGTTTGCTCATGGCCTTGCGGCCCGTGTGCTTGATGTGTGCTGCATGCGCAGTACAATAAAAATTGTTCTGCACATGTGCAGATGCAAAAAACAAGATGGCCGCGCCTATGGCGCCGCCTGGAAAACCTGTTTGGGGGCGTGGCAGGCCTGGGTCACTGCTGGTTCCAGCGACCCAGGCCGCCAAACCACTACTGGTTCGGCTGAACCAGCCCAAATCAGTGGGAACCCACTACTGTTTTGACCTCTGTTTTGCATGTATGTATAAATGATGATAAGTGTGTGTGTGTGATTTAATTCACACAGTGTGTGGCTTTTCCTATCTCCTTCCCGGCTGATCCTTTATATATGTGTGTATTCTACCGTTTCCTTTTACAAGACCCCTTTGCCCCATCAGAAGGCAATGCAGAGGCTGCTCCTGAGCTGGATCTCTTTGCTATGAAGCCAGCTGAGACCGGCGTTCCTGTAGTTACCCCTACAACTAGTGCAGCTACTTCCGCAACCAGTCCTACTCCAGTTGCTGCTGTGGCCCCTCCAGTCCCTGCTACAACTGCTGCTACTACTGCTACTGTCACTACTGCTACTACATCTGCTCCTACCACCACTACCACCACCTCTGCTCCTGCTCTAGATATCTTTGGTGGTAACTTACTTAATTCTTTCTTTCTTGCTGATACATTTTTGGGATGAACTAGGTTTTCAGTCTATGGAAACAGTCATTTAAAAAAATATTTAAACTACGTTATTTTTATTTTTTGAAAAGAAACAAAATTCACAACGTGAAGATATAAATTAGTAAGACACAATGTATTCTTCATCTAGATTTGTTTGACTCCACACCTGCTGAGGTTCCTGCGCCACCTAAGTCAGATGCAGCTCCTGGCATAGACCTATTTGGGACAGGTAAATATATATAAAAGTACAGCCCTATAATAATGCAAGCTTGTGTTTTAAAATTTCCATTTTATTTGATTGCTGAGCATTTCTTTTCTCAATCATACACATAGCTATCTCCAATCTTCATGTAATTTACAATTCATTTTTCTTTGGCTTCTGCAAGATACTTTTTCTTCTACAACTACTGGAGCTTCTCCTGGGCCCGAGAATTCTCTCACTGGTGATCTCTTATCAGGTAGGCGCTTTCTCCTTAGACCTAAGTTTTTCTCGTGTGGCTTGTCACTTGCCTTCCAAAATACCTGTGAAACATGATCAGTTTTAAACTGCTGAAAAGTTAATAAAGTCAAAACTGAACTGATCTCTTGAATATTCCCTGAGTCATTTTAGATTACCTTTGGGCAGGGATAGTCAACCCCTGATTCGCAGACCAACATTGGTCCGCGGCCCACCAGGAACCAGTCTGTACAAGTGAGTGAAGTCCCCATCCATACAGGAGTGGGATTCAGGCAGTGTGCAGAACCACACCTTCCCGGTCGACGGGAAAACCGCCCTGTCCCCCAAAAGGTTGGGGGCCGCTGCCTTTGAAAACATTTACGCCATTATATTTAAAGAGAGACAACTCCCTCTCCCAAATTTTAGATTGTATAAGCCTTGCCCCAAATTCCCACACCAGCATTTGACTTAGATTCTTAGAACATGAGACTGTTATTCATCCTCATAAGATCTTGATAATAAAACATGAAAACATAATTATTTTAATTTAGGAAGGCAATGTATGCAATTTTCTGCTAAATTTGTAGTGCTAATCCTGTTTACAGACTTCTGTGTGCAGTTCACATTCCAACTTCCTGTTCAAATTATTACTGAAAAATGGACAGTCAAAAGCCACCTGGAGAGTTTGTTTATAATCATAACCCAGGAAAAGAAGCTTTATGAGATACATTGTCTTATAGCGCCTTCCCTATTGATAGATTTACCTGGCAATTGAGACGTAGTTCTAAGTGACAACTACCTGCTTTAATAATAAGCATTTTCAGGCTCTAGGGTCTAGGGACATAATACTGTCCTCCACAGCTTATCTATTTAAAGAAGGATCATGAAGCTTCCATGATCAGGATGTTTTTCATGCTATCCAGAATCCAGGAAATCTAAATAGTTAAACATATCTGGCTATAAAATTTGATCATATTTCAAGTTAACCAGAATTCCTATAGCATGAATGAAATGAGAAAACAGAAAAAAAAACAGCTCTTGAGTTTATACATGCAATAATATAAAACTAAGGCTAATATATATTTATATAATAAAATACATACGTATCACCGTGTGCAGCCTCTGCATGTGTCAAAGATAAATAAAAAATGGCCAAAGAACAGTTTTTCTTTTCAATCTAATTTTTAAACATGCTGCTTTTATAGTGGATACTCTATGAAAAAATGTAAAGGGGATTTAGTTTTTCCAAATATTTCATTCATATATATATATATTATTTATCAGCACAAATGCAACACAAATGTAACAAAGGCAACAGTAAAAACAATGGCTTTCTGTCGTGATGGTCTCTTGTGATGAGCCAATAGGCAGAGAAAGAAAGCAGTGTGCTTCTTCCCATATTTGGGCATACCAGGGGTTGTGACACAACACATACCTATTTCCCTGGCCTAGCTGATAAATTATATATATATATATAT